ATAATCCCCTTCAAGAACAAAACCGATAAAACCGGCAAAAAAAAAAAAAACAACAACAACAACAACAACAACAACAAAAAATAGTTCAATTTTTAGCACCCTTTGGTGCAGTTCCAGCCACAGTCAGCAGGGGGCGCCGTCGGGTCACTGGAGATGCAAAAACTTGCAATGTCTTATACCATTCTCCAGGGGGTGCTGTTGGATCACTGGAGGAGTAGAACTTGCAATGTCCAGCACCCGTCACCGGGCGGCGCTGTGGGATCCTTGGTTGCCACCGGGTGGCGAGGGAGGAGGGGGGAAGGGGAAGGGAAACAGAAAGTTCTCCCAATGGAAGAAAAAACTCACGACTCAGTTGGTGAAGATCTCGCGGTGAACCAAGCCTGCAACCAGCAAACAGCTGCGCAGAGAGACAGCAGCAAAAACTCCTCTCCCACAGGAAAAGATAAAGAAGAAACCAGCCCGTCTCTCCTCCTTGCTGCAGCCTCCTCCTCCCGAGCCTGAGCTCCAACCCCCCAGGGCTGAGCTCCAAACCCCCCAAACCCCATCCCTTTCCACACACACACTCTGGCCTTTTCCAATTCCTCCCCCTTCGTTGCTAGGCGACTAATGTTTCAGTCATTTAGAGCCCAGGCCAACTCCTTTGTTTATCTGATTGCTCCTTAACAGCACACACGCAGGGGGAGGGGGGATAGGGGAAAGGAAAGACCAAATTCCTTGCTACAATCAGAACTATGACAGCTTATTAATAAAGGGACAGCTTTGCCAGAAGTTTTGCTACTATTTTTTTCTTTGCTACTTTTGCGGCTACTTTTTCCCACCACCCCGGATTTACTCAGTCCTGTCTACCAAGATACTTGTCTCCCTTTTTTGGTGATGCTATCACATACACACCTAGCTCTGTATTGCCATGCCACCAGTAGGAACTTTATAATTAGACCTGGATGATGTGAGAAGGTTTTAAGGTGGATAATGGATGCACTGAGGCATTTTCTGACATTTTAAGGCCCTGAACAGCCCTTGCCAGCTGATGGGGCCTCAAGGGCATCACCAACCCTGGCTGTACATGCCAGACCCCAAAAGGAGGGGAGGTCACCATGGCCCAGGACTGTGGGCATCTGTGCTGGCATTGCCCATTTCAGCCCCCTCAGGGCTGATTTTGGCCTGCAGCCTGTAGTGGTGATAAATCAGGCTGCTTTTCCTGGTGGATGTTGGTGGGGGGAGAGGGAAGGAGCCCTGCTGGGAGCTGGCTCAGTGCCGTCACTCGGAGTCAGGAGTTACCGAAGAGTTGCCATCACTGAGAGGCACAGACACAAAATGTGCAGGCAAAGCATTTACATTTTCCCCTTTACTGCATGTGATTTGTCTGGCCCAAAGATGAAACATTATCCTGTGTTCAAAGGCCACTTCATTTCTAGCTGTAACCTTTGCTCTGGGGGTTATAGGAATGGTGATGATGATGATGATGATAGGAATGGTACTGAAGCGAGGCCTGGGGGAAATGATGGGCTCAGCTGGTTTAGGAAGGCTGAGTAATTAATGCTCTGCCTTGGTCGCTGTCACTGCACATGGGATCCTTTCTCTTGCTTTATTCTTTATTCCCCTCCTCCGAGCTTAGAGTATCCCAGGTAATGGAGATTGGAGATGCTGCTGCATGAGGAGAGATCTCAGCCTTCTGTCACCTCTGAGGGAGAAGGTGGCTGGACATCAAAGGGCATGGAAATCCTGGGATGCTCTTCTGAGCTGTGGGAGGAATAAAGACTGGACAGGAGACGAACCAGATCAGTTTTTCCTTCAGCTCACAAACCAGTCCCTTCAACCTTAATGCTGTTCTAGCAGTGTCATCACTTGAAAATCAGGATCTCTACGTTCTCCTCCTTCTTCCACGTACAGCGTTTATTATTTATAGCCTTGATTAGCAATCCTTTAAGTCCTGAAGGTACTTGGCAGCCAAACAGCGAGCAGGGTTGAAAAATGCCTTCCATCACATGTCAT